CAGTGGCTTTCATGGGTGTTTTAGTGTCAAACATAAGCATGACAGGTGGTGGCAGCAAATTGGGTACCAAAGTGCAGATTACTATACTGCACGTACCTCCATGTGCATGAGAGTACTAAGGGGGCATCCTTCTTTGAAAATCAAAACCAGTGCTGGGGTTTGTAATATTTCAGATGCAGTACTGCCATCATGTGGTTATGTACAATATGTCTACATATAAGACAATACACAGCAGGGCCTTCCATGCATTTTATAAAAGGTTTGCCTGTGAGACAGTCATCTGAAAAGAGACTGGATATCTGTCTATAACATAGGAAACAAGAAAAAAATGGATGTCTGACTACTACATTCTTTCTTGTGTGTATCTAAAGTTAAATAATTTTTAAATGTTTCTGTCTGTATCTCAGAGTTTCCCATTTTTGAGCCATCCATGTACAAATGGAAGCGACTCATGGCATTGGAAGTTCCTGCTTAAGCCATGAGGAAGAAAATGAAATAATGACAGATTGAGATTTTATTTCTCTAAAGCCATTCTCATGATATTATCACTGGCTCAGTGCTGCCAAATGATACATAAGTGCTTGTTGCCAGAATGAGCAGCATGCTGATAAAAGGGCCAGGCTAGTTAACCAAATGAGATGTTCGGGAAGCACATGTCCTCAACAGGACTTGAGTTTTGAGATTTCCTCCACAAAATTATTTCCCACTTGTCATTTTGCTTTGCTTGATTAATAACAGAGCTCGGGCAAATCATTTTAATGAGGTTCATATCACTGAGAGATGTGTCTGGAGCATAGTGCTACGCATTGCCAAAACAAACAAGGATTTCATGTGGATAGGGGGAGAATTAACCTGGCATGCCATGTGAATCAGAGATGTTTTTTATATGACGTTTGGGGAAATATTTTATGCCTCTCAGATGTCGCCCCAGTGAACCGAGGAGTCAACCCCTCAAATTGGTTTTGCTCTGCTAATAAATGGGAGATTTTGCAAAAGCACTGATGCAGTTGTTGCTGTGTGTGTGGAAGCAGCTGAGTCTTAGTAATATACACGTGTGTGCACGTGTGTGCCCCTGTGAATATCTGTGTGATAGAGCTCTGTCGTCAGAGAATCAGTAGAAACCTGTCATCAGCCATGTTGGCTGGAAGGCAAACATGAGGATTAACTGAGAAACCTATAATAATAATACTTGAAAAATGGAGCAAAGTCTCTTTTTACAGTCCTCCCAACCAAGGCGAGGTTGTTTATCACTTTGGGAAGATGTTTGGTTGCACGTCGGCTTTGGGCCCTTAAGCTGATTTAGCTACACAAGCACGTTCTCTTCAAAGCATGTCAAGATTTTCCACGCACACTAATGAGGTAAATGGATGGCTTTTGTTTTCTTCACAGTTTTAACTTCCCCCAAAGTGCTCTCATGACTTATACAAGAGCTGTTGCGGAAATCAGCCTTGAGCATTTAATCAAATTCCTAACTCTACAGAGTGATCAATTTGTGCTGCAATATTCATCTGCCACACAAGCATACACATAATCTGACACAAACACACACACATACACACACATATATATACCAGCACAACAACAAAAGAAGCAGGGCTGCTATTTGTTCTTATTAAAACAATGTCATTTTGGAAGGCAAAATACTAGTATGACAAAAACTGCTGTGACAGATTTTTCTCCCTTTTTAAATGAGGGGTGGTGTGTGAGAATCATGCAAATTACTGTACATTCAGGCACCATACGGTACCTCCTCTGATCTAATCAAAGAATGGAAATGAAGCAAATCCTTTCCCTCAGAACAAGCACAACACAGCTACATATGATGGAAGAATAAAAGCACCAATTTGAAAAGCACTTAGATCTCAAATGAAAAGTTTTACTTCTAGACATGAAACAGTGCGTTGACAAATGTGTGGGTTTGTGAGGTGATGTGAGGATACTTACCCTCAGGGACTACTTCCAACCCTTTGTGGCACAGAGTGGATATAGACATCCCTGTGGGCAAACTGAACTTGCAGGGATTAAAAAGAAATCCAACTGCCGTGTGTTTATGTGCATATTAACAAGTAATTGTAAAGGGTTGAGAAAATGCATATCCAGGACGTAAATAATATACAGCAAAGGTCAAAGAGTCATGCAGTTCATTATGGAACTACATTCAGTTTATAGCTAAAACTAAGTAAAATATTTTTTATCAATTTTGTTTTGTCTTTAATAATTAGTAAATCCAGCTTGCTGTGCTTCTTGAGCTCTACTTCTTCTTCATTTCACTAGATCTGGCGTAGTGCTTAGGAGGAACCTATATCCCTTAGTGGCACCGTTTTCTGCCTCTTTGTTTGTAACTATGGGTGGGTAAATATTCCCCCAAATCAGATGCACATGCTTTACTGAAAGAATTAAGTGTGTTGTGAATCCCTGGTGATACGGTCAAGTCAAGAAGTTTTGCAGTAATGTTGTGAAAAAGATATATTTAGTTACACACTACAGTCCTAGGCTAGCTGTCCTGTTGTCAGTAAATAAGATAACATACAGTACATAGCTAATGAGCTACTTGTTGTTTAAGTGAAGAGACAGCTGATGGTTACTTTCGGTAATCTTGTATTGAGTTATTTTACGTGTAAAAATGGTACAAAACTATAAAAACCACTGGAAGTGCTAGGTTAAATTAGTCAGGAGAATGAATGCACTGGACATTAATATAGTTTATTTCACTATGTTCTGTTCATATTTACACATACCAAAGTAACATATGTATTGTTCAGAATAAATCCTTACCTCTCTGCAGAGTCTGCAGCTCTGTCAGCCACTTTCCGCTCATTGTTTTGGTTTCCTGGTTCGTCTGGCTGAGTTGCTTGACACCCACATTTAATGAGCAGCAGCTCCTGGTACACATGCTGTAATTGTACACTAAAAAGTGAAGGAGCCAGTGGTTGAGAAAACTGAACGTCTAACAAGCCAGAGTGATCCAGATCCAGACATTAGGCAAGTATCTGCTAACATTTCATCAATTCCTTGATTTAAATGTATGCTTGGTGATAGTCTTTAGTAAAAAATGTTATTTGAAATGGTCGCTGCCCAGTGGAAGTGAATGAATAAATGAAAGGGAAAGTCCATCCTAAAGCCTTTAAATGTAGTGTTTAGAGCTGCCACCTATACTAAGCAGTAATCATATACATATACATCACAGAGGAGGCAGTAACAACAGTACAGTCAGTCGACCACCATGCAATCAACACTCCCTTTGTTGTGACTATAAAACTTTATTATAAACAATACTGGATATTTGGCAACCGAGTTGCTATTATTGTTGTTGCTAAATTGTTGTTCTCTGGGACTTTTCAAAAGCCATCTGGGGAAATGCTGAAAACCACAAAATGAAGTAGAAGTAGGTAAGGCAGACTGAAAGAAAAGAGCACCAGAAAATTAAATTATCAGAAAATCCCTCCTGGCGAACACAGAACATCACAGACTGATGACACATAACAGTTTTTTCTTTTATAAAATAGAAACCATTGTGTTGGCAGCGTACAAACTCTGAAAGCTGGTCTTGTCAACATTAGATGCGATACTTTGCTCTATTATCCCTGTGATTATCTTCTGATACAAAGACTCACTGACCCGTTGTTGAGAATGAACGAGCTTAAAGCAGCTCAAATTTGATCTGTTTTTGTGATGACATTTTAGAGTTACCTTTTGCTGCCAATTGTTGCTGTCAGCAAGTGAACCTGCTCTCTGTAACTTTATAACTTCTATTAAGTTATGCAAAGCTACTTAGTGGCCAACAGAAGCAGGCTGTGGTTGTACTGTACTGCTGTATGCATGCATATTATTATTTGCATATGCATATTTATTTTATTTTGCTGGTTAAATAGAGGCTAAAAAAGAATCAGGACAGATGTAGGAAGTGGTTTGTTGTAGTCTACTCACAGGGTGTGCATTAGCTGATCAGCATCAATCTTATTTTTTTGTTTTGTTTTAGCAATATCAGTAGGTCCACAACTTTGGTCCTGACTCAAATGTCTCAACAACTGCCGGATGGATTACCATCTGTACAGATATTCGTGGTCCCAGATTACTCTTACTGACTGGTGATCCCCTGACTTTTCTTCGAGCACCACAACCAGATTAACATTTTTGACTTTTAGTGAAAGATCTTAACAACTTTTGGAATGATTGCCATGAAATTTGGTAATTCATGGTCCTCAAAGGATTAATCCCATGCAGTCTTGTATGTACACCGGCTCCTTTCCACTCTCCGCTATTATTACATGTGGGGTCTATTTTTGCCTGAGCAACTTGCATCTCTGAAGCATGCAATTATTAGTAAATGTGTATAAATGCCTGGTTATTGACTTAAAATACATTTTCAGTGATGGATTTACAGCCAAATTCATAATATAGTTGTTCATGTACATGCATCAGAAAACTAATCCAGTATGAAATCTGATTACAGCTCATAAGTACTATGTTGACCAGCAGCATTACTGAGTAGCCGGCTGCTGTGTACATTTGTCGTTATTTTGTGAAATATCTCAGTCTCTCCTGGATGGATTGGCACAAACTCTTGTATAGACATTAATAGTTCCAGACAATGTATTGTGCTTCTACTCCTGCTTGTGAATGATGTTGACATTGTGGCTTTAAATGAAACGTTTCAAAATGTTTGCTAAGAAATTTGGTACAGACATTCATGTTCCCCTCAGGATAGTGTGCCATAACTTTGATGTGCGTAATAGCATGCTGACATTAGCCTTTAGCTTAAAGCACTGCTGTGCCTTCATAAAGCCTCACAGAGCTGCTAATGTGGCTGCAGAATCTTGTTTTTTAATGCATTAAAAAAACATAATGAATGAAAAAAGGCCCAATACAAACACACTGACAAACCATGAGCCAAAGCCTGATTCTCATCCTGGAGCTCGTTAGCCGACTCTCCAAAGTTCAGTAACCACATTGGACTTGACACAAACAACTAACAACTGCAAGAATAAAAAGAACATACATTGAAAATGCTAAAGACAATTTATTAGTAGACACTCATCAGCCAGAAATAATAACCACCTGAAGAATGTCTTCCTGATATACACCATTTGATTGGCAGTGTAAAATAAGGCAAAGGGCTTAAGATCATATACTTTATACACTTTTGCACCAACGATAAACAGTTATACATTCACTTGTTACTGTAATTACGCTTTTGATAAATCTGTCCATACACCCACATACCAAGAAAACTTTATTAGCGGGCGGGCGGGGGGGGCAGGGACTGACAGAGTATTTGCAAGAGTGATACTCATCATAATGCGATAGCTATTTTGGCCAGAAATTGGCTATACCTACATAGAATCTGACCACAACCTAAACAAAGATTAAATTCTGGAATTGCAAAAGCAAACATACTATAATGACAAAAGTTCATACAATTACCGTCAGCGTGAAAGGGTACTACCACCAAAATTGTTAAAGGTCTTCAAAAATTGATTATAGTGTGTATAGATTTAAATAATATTAATTTCCCTTAACCCATACCCATACTTTATAAAGTATTTTGTTACATAAACACATTCCCAGTGACCTGCAAAACATGTAGCTGAATAGTGACTGCTGCTTTATAGGAGATTAGCCATAGGTTGTTCCCAGCATCACAATAGCTCAAGTTTATCTTTGCATCATTCCCTTGTAAAAGATAAACTGCTACGCACTTTGATTGTAGCCAAGTATTCATTTGCATCTATTATTTTGGTGTCATAGTCATCATATCCAGTCACTTCTTCATTGCACCCAACATACAGCAAGTAAAGTAGTAACTTTAATTTAGAGAAACCTTATCTTAGGTCTACAGTCAGTCAGTATAAGCTTTAGATTTACAGTACATGATTATCTGATGAATGGTTCTGTTTGTTTACCACATATTAAATTTTACAGTATCCATCATGTCCAATCATATAAAGGATTGTAATAGAGCCCTACTTTAAAAATTGTAAAAGTGTTCAGGACCTAAGAATTGCCTGTGTAGTTTCCACAAGTGCACATTGTTATGTGGTCCGAACTGCATCAATTAGTACTTAAAACATTTTTTTTAAACTTAAGTGGTAGGTGAGCGGTGGGTGGGTTAGGAATATATCTGTCTCATAATATTGTACACAGGATATTGTACCTCCAATGTGTGTCTAATATGTTTTCAAAAGATGTAGGTCAATAGATTTTAAAACATCTAAACAGCTCTTTCAGTACCACACCCATGCACACGCACAGGCACTCGCACACGCACACGCACACGCACACACACACACACACACACACACACACACAGTGGAGTTCTGTTGGTAAAAATGTCATTAGTCAGGATGGGTAACTAGGTGGATAATGCAGCTCATCTGTACAGGGTCTATTATCCTATTGAGAGACCAAACAGATTAGGGATAAGTAATTAAAGAGCTAATTTCCAAAATGTTATATATCCATTTTTATTTAAAAAATCTCTCAGTACCTGCAAAGCACCGAGTGGTATCAATTCATCAGTCAAACTAAGTCATCTATGACACTGCAGATTTTTGCAGTCATTTCGTCTCTTGAGAATTAGAATTGGGATTTTCAGCTGGTGGATATTTTCTTTTGGAAAGAAACTCTTCTGTTACACAACACACTCTACACTGGTAATACTGAAAGAACAATCAATGACATCAACATACCTTCACCAAGAAGCACTGAATATATATATTTTAGAAATACATAGAAAAATATATAGTCATCTGAATGCCCATTATACAATTGTACACAGTAGTGTCAGTAAAAAGCCTATAAGATGGTGGAGAATAGATGTGATACATACAGTGGGTACGGAGCTGCTGACAGTGTGAGATTTGTAAGTGATAGCTGTTGAGGGGGTGTTTGGTGTGATAGATGGAGAAGTTTGGGGGCACACTTTTCTTTTTCTCATCCAGTCCAAGTGTCCAAATCATACATGGTTAGACTGTCACAAAACCAACTCTAAACATATGTTTAGTTTTTTGCAATGTTATTTTTATCCACCTGGTTGCCAACACTGTCAACAGACTCTAGAAACTGACTGATTAGTATGTAAGTCAGTAACACTAACAGGAATTAAGAGATACTGGCAACAACACCATTACCCTGCAAGTATCTAGATGTCCTGCATTCAACCACAGCCACCCAAGTAAATACCTCTAGTGAAGGGGGACCGACAGCACATGTATGTGTTAGACTAAAGCACAGACCTAACCAACAAAGTTAGAAGTACAAAAATGCTACAGTAAGTGCACAGAGCTTCTGAGTGGGCAGCACTTGACACATTTTAAAGATTTATACTACTTAAAGTGTTTCATTTTGTTAAGGTTTATGTTTAGTAAAACCATTTACATGAAATACTGTATTAGTATGCATTGATACATAGAGGTATACTGATGCCTAACCTGCTGTGAGTCAAATAGTAAATGCAAATATTTTAAATAAAAAATCAACAAATTGCAGTGCTTGATGGTGATCATTACTTATTCTCCATCTGCGGTCAACCAAGGATGAAAACAAATTCATAAAAGTTTTGGTATGATTATTCTGAAAGTAGGTGGTAGGGGCTCACCGAAGATACTCTATTGTGTCTCTGAAATCACTTCTGAATTTAGAAATGTGATTGGAACTTTAACCCATTATGGTTTGATTCAACAAAGGGCGCCCCTTTTACGATGCATTTGCATATGCTATTTGACTCACAGTGAGGCATAATTTAAAGCCTGTTGAACAATAATAAACTTTTTTATAAGCATAACATTTATAATTTTCATATTCTACCTCACCATGTGCATTTCAGAACTATTTTGAGCATTTAATATGACATCACGTGAATCTTTTCATCTCAGAGTTGTCTAAAAATTAAGATAATCTGGTAGAAATGTATTCATAAAAAGCAGCTTTTGCGAAATTCAGAGGAACTTTGGTCTCTGATCTCTCTGCTTAGATGCAAAGATTCACGTGAGCATGTGAATGAGCCTTTTCATGTTAATATTTCATTATGGTGGCGATGTAGGCGTAGTGGAATGTGACTGGGATTCAAGCGTCTTGATAGGAGTCAGTCAATATAAATCTTTAAAAGGCTTGGAGTAGTTAAACATCATATAGTCCATGTAGTAGAAGTCGTAGACTCGCTGTTTCTCCGACTGGCTGACCTGTGAAAAGTATTTTTGTGTGATCTGCAGAGAAGTCCTCAGGTCGGTTGGGTTCCTATCTTTAAAACTGGGCAGTGTGATGTTGGGTGGCGCCCCAGTCAATCGCAAAAGAAAGTTGGACTCTTCCTCCATGTTCTCAAACTTGCCAATGAAGTCATAGTCTATGAGACAAGGATGGCAGAGCTGATTCATCTGCTCCCAGTGGATGTCCATTCCCACAGGCCGGTGGACATCCAGAAGGTAACGGACAAACTCCTTGAATGTGACCCCATTGCCTGTCTTCAGGGCTGCCAAGGATGGGTTCACCCTGTACTTGGAAATGATGGGTTTCCCAAACAGGTTGTGGTAGTAGTTGTTGGGATTTTCAAACTTGTCCCTGTATGCTGACACGATTCTCTCCAAGGGCTCTCGCACAAAAATTATTTTGGTGTAGGTCTCCAAGCGTTGCATGATTCCCTGATGGTCAAAGGTGTTAAGTGTCCTGAGTTTCTGGCCGTAGTGGACTGTGTCATGTTGAAGGCTCTGAGCATTGCGGGCCTTGCCTGCCAGCACTATCAGGGTCCTTTTCCAGTTGGAACAGCCAGCCTTGGGCACCTGACAGTACAACAACTTGTGCTTGTCCTCCACATACAGGTGTTTCACATGATCACCTGTGATGGTCTTGGAGATTCTGCTTTTGTACTTAGCACACACATCCTTCATTAGTTTCCGGCGTGCTTGTAGGATATCGGGGGAAAAAGAGACAGAGGCAGAGGAGGAGGAGACTGAGGATGAGGAGGAAGGAGAGGAAGAGGACACAGAAACATTATTGTTGGTATGACTGATTGGGGGACTTGTTTTCAGCAGTTTGCGCTGTCTTTTGGAGACATGAAGGGAACCTATGTCCTGCTCCCGAGACCCAGTGGTGGCCATCTGTCTGCTCTCCTCAAAGTGTGGGAACTGCATTGGAGGGATCAGGCTGGACAAGATGCCTTCTGCTGCTTGATGGTCCTGATAATTGTCTGATTTGCTTCTCTCGCTGTCCTGCGTAGAAAGAGTCTATAAAACAATGAATGACAACACTGGTTGTAGTAGACGATAGCAGATATGTGTTTAGACCAAACAAAATGCAACATAATGTGGTACATGTGCAAGAACATAGAATTTATACTTATTACTTAATGAGGTGGTAAAAACTGAGCTTTATTACCAGAAACAACCACATATTGCTTTCAGTACTCAAATCAGCCACTTGATGGTGCTGTTTCACTGCACCTCAAACAAAGGTCTAACTTTACGTTACAGGCAAATGTCACACTGCCCTATGCCATCCGTGACCTATCAATAAACTGAGCGGTAATATCATATAAATGTCTTATAAACACTTAATGGGGAATCTGAATTAGAATCATCCACTGTCTGATTAGCATCATTTGATGCCCAAGGCAATCATGCATTCTGACATTTTATTTCAATTAAATGCTGTAATGGCATCATAAAGCCAATGGACTGGATGTATAATTTTAATTTTACAACAGACAAGGTGATGAGACCATCATGAATCTTGGCTCATCCCCCTTCTGACTTAAATGGTCATATTCTTTCATCTGCAGGGACATCTGGAGGGGAAAAAGGAAGGAGTGGTTTCTCCCTGTGTGTTCAATGTGCACGGTGAGCACCAGGCAGTAACCTATGCACCAGACATTATGTTCTTCAGGGTTTTCACTGATGTAAATCTCTCATTGGCACTGACAATCACAGCAGAGATGAGAGCAAGCAGGGGTGAGCTGAGAGGAGATACAGTAGTACGAGGGCTGCATGTCTGACATAGAAACCTATTTATTGATGGTCTTGGGGTCAAACGTGATTTTTCTCTCTCTTTATCTATCTTAACCTTGTAGCTAATAGTACGATAAAGGCCTGGTTGAAATCCTTTTATATCTTTTAGAATGCCTTTCGGGGCAATTAAGGATGCATTTTACCCAAATCTTTGGTAAAAAAACAACACACATAAATGCTGCGTCACCATTTATCTAAAGTGGATGTAAACTAATCAAAATCATAAGTCTCTAATAAACTACCGTGTAAGTTGAAAAAACAAACAAACAAACAAACAAACAAACAAAAAAATAGGTGTGATCACACCCTGAGGAACCTAGGCCTGGTTCTACCGGGAGCGTTTACTCAGTTAGGTCTGACTGGCTGAATGCACTGTGTGAGGTCAGCCGCTCTACACAGATGCTATCAGACACGCTGAGAGGTACAAGGCTGACAATCACTTTTTTGCAATAGATAGCAGTTGGGAGCAACCTGTGTATCTGTGTTTTGGGAGAAATGGAGTAAACACGTACCTCTCTGGACTGCCGTGGAGTGCTTCCAAGCTTCACGCCTGGGGAGAGAGAAGAGAAAAGAGACAAGAAAATCAGCACTTAAGTAAACAACATGTATTTTTGTCCTTGTGGAAGAGAGTTAGGAGCCCCCGATGCATCAGAGGCTCCAATAATTTTACGCTTCCTATCGCTTAGCACGTCTACTTTTGATCCCCGGGAAAATCACCACTGATCAACTAGTCCACAGAGAGAAGACAGGTAGCTCTATCTGTGTAATGAGCTGCCACAAGCAAGGAAAGTTGGTAAATGAGTTGTGCTCCCAGTAGCAAGTGCATAGGATGAGACAGGGGAAGAAAACAACACAGGAAAGTGAGGCAAAACGAGATCAAGGAAGATAGAAGGAAAGAAGGAAAGAAAGATAGAAGGAGAACTGAGAGACCCAGTAATAACCAGCAAGAAAAACGTGGAGGTTTAAAAAAGATGTAGTTTGTAGACCAGAGGAAAGACAGACGAAGAGAAAGATGCAGTTTGTTGAATTTCTTCTTCTAGAGGACAGTGGAAGAGTGATAGAGACATACAGATTGGTTTTGTGGCAGCCTTGGGGACAGGTGGTATGTGTATTGGCAGATGTGAGGCAGCAGGACAGACGACGTGTTTAGTGGTCTGTCTCCAGCTGGACATCTCCTTTCCTTAGGTCCCCCCATTCTGCTGATATATAATCAGGCTGACAGCTCTGAGTGGGGCTGCATGGCTGCTGATGGGGGGAGCAAAGACACCTCTGCCTGAGTGGCCTGTCACTTCCAATTTGTGGCTGGAAGTGATAGGAACCTGCACGAGGGTGGGGTGGTGGTGGGGGCTGTAGATGCAGGCCACAACCTTCCCTAAGTGATGAGATCTGCAGATCCCTAGCTCACACTTAAACACGCCTCGGTGGGGAGGGAATAAAATGCGTTGCTCAGATTCAATGTTGTTTTAGATTAGTATGCGCTGGAGAGCTTGGTGTTGCTGTCTGGCTCTGTGTGTTGAATCTTTACTTGTCTTCATTCTTGTGAACGAGACACTGGAAGAAGAGGTGGAGGAGGAAAAAGAAGGGAAGTGGGCTAAGGAGGTGGCGTGTGACATTTTCTAATCTTGTTTGGTTGCTGCTGTGCTATGTGATCTCCTAACCCTAATGATAGCTCATGTATGATGTGCATCTTTGATATGAGTTTACATTGGCGCATGTGAAACGCATGAATATTTATCACAACACACACAGATGCCATTGCCTGGGAAACACATCCAAGCGCAACAATAGCAACGGTCTCTCAGTGTCTGCTGTTCTAAACTGATGGAGCGGCACAAGCCCCTTGTAGCCCTGACCATCTTGTCAAAATACAAGCTAAGTTATCGATCTTGAAAGCCCCATCAAGGTGGTAATTGAAATCTCCAAAGGTTTAATTGGTTCCTTTTAAGAGGTGCTTTGTCTGGCCGTTGTTACAAATTTGTCACAGCTGTTGAAGTCAATACTGTCACACTTTGGCTTTCTATGTCGCACCTTCAAGCAGAGTAAAATTTTAAACAGCTGAATTCAGAATGAAAATGTTGGATGCAATAAATGTATTTAGTTTCTTGAATCTTTGACCTTGAATTTTTTTTGTCATTTATTCTGCAAAGAAAACTAAAATAAATTCCGCCAAGGTTAAATTATTTTCAAGCCCAAGGTACTGAACTGAGCATTACAGTCAGTACAGTTACAGAAACCAAGTTGTCCTGTTCAGCACTTTGTGACAAAGGTGTCTTGTTAAAGTTGCTTTAGAAATTAATCTGACATGGCTTGATTTGATTAGATAAATCTAGGCTTTAAAGTCTACAAATAGAGTTAGAATTTTGGTTCTGAAAATGCAATCCTCTCTGAAGTAGAAAGCCAAAATTACATTTCATGAGAGGAAGATTTTTCCATAATAGACTATAACTGAAACAAGTAATATAACAATGTAAACTAAATTTCAGGGGGATTTGTAAGCATCATTTATCTCTGTAGTATCTATTTGGTTGAGGGTAATAGTTGCTGTTTGATTGCAATTTCACACTCAGTCAATTCCACTCAGTATAACTATGCTATTGATTTTTACTGCTGCGCGGTGTAACAGTGATAAATTGTTAACACTGAGGTTTCATCTGTGTGGTGCAGAAAATTCACCCAGGTAATTCCACATATAGATGTAGATAGATACAGCCGAAGCCCATTTTTTCCCAAAAATAATTTTGTAAATAATGTAAAAGTGAATGTTTCTTCTCAGGTATAAGTTGGTTGAGAGGGATTAGAGGTTTATACTGTTTACAGGTTTGTTCTTACCGTATACAGTAGCATTCACAAAAAGGATTCTTTGCAGCACTAATGGAGAGATTCAAGATAAATGCACCAATAGGGACTTCTTTAATGGGAAACAGTCAAACAATAAAGCTGAAGTTGTTTTTATCCCCAGACATTAAATGTCAAACTATCTTCTTTAGGCTCTAAAGGCTTCTGGTAAACTCACACAAATATAAACTCCGCTGCTCACAGCATAGATCAAAAGAAAGAGTCTGATAAGTTTTGCTTTGATTCTCAGATATTTCACTGTTATTTTGATGATGACGGAAGCCGACTTAAAAGCAGAATAGGATCTTGAGGCTTGTCCTCTGGTGCCCTCTAAAGTAACCTTGAGCATCCACCTCTCTCTCAGGGACAAAGCCTCTGAATATTCATGCAGACAATCCTGCATTACTGCAAGGATCCATATAAGCAAGGGCCACATCATTAGCGGATCCATTATCATCCCTCCCTCTCAAAGACCCTTGTATAACTCTCTAACAGAGACACACATCAAACATCCTTTTCCCTGCCACTGCCGCTGAGGAGGAGCAAAGGACAAAAACAATGTGAAATAATGAGCTTGTTAAGTGAAGGATTGTGGCCCCTCTGTTCAGGGAGAACTTGTTAAATGCCTGGTTTTAACCAGAGACAGGCCAGGAGGGTGCTAGAAGCCAGACAAGGCGTATCCTCCTCCAGCCCACTACTCAGGCTCGGCAGTCGTGCTGCGCCACCATAAACCTTTCATTAGTCATTCAGCACGCTGAGCCACTGTGACCCCAACCAGCTGCACTCCCCTCTCTACCCAACAAACCACCCACACCTGCACTCTGCACACATGCTCCTCCTCCACTTGACTCTGTGTGGGAATACAGGGCTCTGGCATGCTGGTGTGGTTTATCAGAGGAAAAACGCTTGAGAACAGAGGTATTAGGCTTTAAGCTCTGGTCCATTGATGTTTTAACTTGTTGTGGTAAGAGATAAAACGATGTTTCAGTTGGTGCTGAAATCCTCCAGGACTGGGCCAGAGAGAGCAGCTGCTGGGGAGGAGGAGGGGGCGATGGGTGAGCAATCAGTGATTTGGGATAGAAGATGTGCTTGCAGAGGCTCTCTAAAGACCAAACATGGACCATCTAAAATTGTTTGTGCATCTGACGACTGGCTTGTGTTGTGAAAGAAGGCTTGGATACATTAGGTGTTCACAACTCAAAGGACAGGTTTGGCCAAGAATGAATCAGTAACACACCTTTAATCCAATCAGTCACAATGTACTGTAAATGAAACAACCAGGACACCAAGAAACAGACTCTTCCCAGTGTTTCAGGAGTAGGAACCATGATGCCATACCATAATCATGTCAGTAGGATTTAGTATTTAATTTAGTTTCTGGCTCTGTGACCTTATTACACCTTATTAGTCTGTGTTGTTTGTTGTTTGTTTTAAGCACAGGGTAATTACAGTTTTTAGATTCATGGTAAAGGTGGTGGAGTAGAGGTTTTTCCTTTTGACTTCTTTCAGTGCCACTGCAGTTCCTTCTGCTTATCAACAGAGGCTGATAAAGGTCATAGATGACTAAGCATGTTTAAAGCTACATTATAGTTAATAAAGCCACTCTTGGTGATAGGGTACTATGACTTTATAGCACAAATATGAGAGCCTGGCAAAGTGAAGTAAAAGAATGTGACATGTGAGTTGCTGATTTGTTTTGTTTAGTGTAGATCAGCACTGCATTCACACTGTAGCCTGGAAAAGAAAATGTAACATTATGTGTGCCAATTGTTCTGATAAAGGACGGTGTCCTTTTGTAGCTTGCTAACCAGCAGAGTGTATTAACCTGAGCTCCCCTCCTAAACCCCATCATGACATTCTTCTGACCTCCTTGGCGCAATTCCTTTTTACTACACCACAGAGGGTGCACATAAGGATAGCGTTATTAGTGAAATCCATAAATAACATGATGTTCACAACACCATGTATAGGTTCCCCTTCCACCTCTGACCCCATATGAAGGTCAAGTGTTAGGAAGACTCGTAAATCGTCAGAGATGTGCTCTCTCATTAGTTGCAATTCAAATGAAAAAGAGGACACTTCCTCCAATCCCCCGCCACATTAAATCAGTGTGCCTTCCATGCACCATAAATAACACATGGTTTGGCTCATAATTGTCTGTGGCAGAGCACAGGCTAAGCATACAAAGACTACATCAACATTCAGTGAGATAAAAACTGAGCTCAGAGGAAGACTATTTATGATGTGAGGCTGTAGTGCTGCATTAACACCTTTGCACTATTTTCAGAACACTATGCTTTCCTTCTCTGAGGCACTGCAGCTACTCAGTTCATGCATCATCACGTCCATCACAACATCACTCCTACATATGAGTTTGTGAATTGGTTAAAGATGCTACATTTTTAAGTGGTATATATACTGGATATATATATGTTATGTTCTAATTTAATTTAAAATGTATGAAAATGTTTGATTCCAACAACGATATGTTGATCAGTTGACAACTGTGAGACCTCGAAAAACCCTTGAGGTTATCTTTTATATTGTTTTGTGGATGTTTTTACGTAGAAGAGTTTTTTTTTATCTCAGAGTAATTAAATGATGAAATTGAGGCAATGGGATTTTTTCCCTCTAAATGGATTTACAGTATAGTGCTTTAGGAATAAAATCCTACTTATAGAGGCAAAACATTGTGAGACTGCATTTAATGATAAA